TTACACTTGTTTCCCACATCAGAGAAACAATGCAATATTTAAACTCCTCCAGGGATTTAGCTCAGTGGCATAAGCGCCTGCCTGGCAAGGACAAGGCTGTGAGTTTGATTCCTCAGTACCACCACCAAAAAAAAAAAAGTGTGTATGTGATATTTCACTTAAGAGCATTGCCTTAAGTTTCACCTATTTACCTACAGATAACTATGCTTACCCTTCTTTATGGCAGAGTAGTACACCATTGGATAGAAAACCCCACATTCTCTTTATTCATTTGTTGATGGACATCTGCTTCCAAGATGTGATTACAAATTGTGTCATCATAAACACGAGTGTGCATATATCACTCTGCTATGATGCTTTTAATTCTTTCAGAAAGATACCTAGGAGGGAAACAGCTGGCTCAAATAAAACCTCTAGTTTTAGTTTTTCAAGGACTCTCCATGCTGATTTCAGCAGTGATTGTACCAATTTACATTCCAGCAACATTTATTAAGAAGGCTCTCTTTCCTAAATGTATATTTTTGGCTCCTTTGTTAAAGATCAAATAACTATGTGCCTATGGTTCTTTCTGTTTCCTCTGTTCTGTCCCACTGACTCACATGCATGTTTTGTGCCAGTACTGCATTGTTTTAATTACTGAAGCATTATAGCATAACTTTAAGTCTGGAGTCATGATGCCACCTGCTTTGTTTCTGTTACCCAGGATTGCTTTTGTCTTTCTGAGTCTTTTCTGATTCCATATAAATGTTAGGATTGTTTTTTTTTCTAGCTCCATGAAAAATGGCATTGGTACACAGATTAGGATTGCATTAAATCTGTATATCAGTTTTGAAAGTATAGTCATCTTGATTATGTTGGTTCTGTCTATCCAGGAACAGGGAATATTTTTCTATTTTCTGATGTCCTCCTTGATTTCCTTTTTCAGCCTGATATAATTTTTACTGTAGAAGCATTTCACTGCCGTAGGTTAATATCAGAGTATTTGAATCTTTTTGACGGTATTGTGAGTGGCATTGTTTTCCTAATTGCTTTTTCAGTGAGTTCACTTTTTTCTGAAACAAAATACCCAGCACCCCAAGTTGGGTGTATTGGAAGCATATTGATTTTTGTGTGTTTATTTTGTATCCTGCTACACTGCTGATTTTGGTTGTCAATTCCAGGAGTCTTTTGGTGGAATTTTTTAGGTCTTTAAGAACATCATCTCCCAATATGATTCTTTTACTTCATCTTTTCCTATACATACCCCTTTCATTTTTCTCTTTCCTGATTACTCTAGGTGTTATGCCGTATATCTAGATGTCCTCTCAAAGTCTCATAAGTTTACCAGTAAGGTTTGTCAGAGGTTACTGGATCTAGGTGGTGTATGACACTGGAGTCAAGGATGTGTGATTACTAAATTGGCCCACTGACTGGGTGAGCATAGTTTTGGGTATGGATAATAGGACAGCCCACACTGTGTGTAAATGTTGCCCACCCTCAGAGTGTGCAGCTTGGATCAAAAATAAGGGACAGAAAGAGGACTGCTGTCACTGCTTGCTTCCTGGCCACTTCACTGCTTTGTTGCCTTCCTGCCGTGGAATAACCATGAACTGTTCTTCCTCTGTGATGCCCCTCTGCCATGCCACACTACCTTGGAACTTTTGCCAAAGGGTTCTTCTGTATCCACTGAGATGATCGTGTGATTTTTGTCCTCGCTTCTCTGTTTATCTGATGAATTATTTATTGATTTGCATGTATTGAACCACCCTTGCATCTGTGGGATGAAATCTCTTTGATAATGGTGTTGGTCTTTTTGATGATTGGTTGCATTGTTTGCCATGTCTTGTTAAAAGGTTTTTGCATTTGTATACATTAGAGAAATTGATCCACAGTTCTCTTTTTTGGTTGGATCTTTGTCTGGTTCTGAGATCAAGATATTAACTTCCAGTGATTTTGGATATACTCCTTTTCTCTCAATTTCATTAAAAACTTTGGAGTGCTGGTGTTAGATTTTCCCTTAAGTTCTTTCAGAATTTTCTTGTGAATCCAACAGATCCTGTTTTTTTTCCTTAATTGGTAGTTTTTTGTTTATCTGTTTGGTTTTATTACAGCTTCAGATTATAACCCATTCAAGACTAGATTGTTCAAGATTTTTTAGTCTTCTTTGTTCAGTTTTGGCAGTTCATATGTACTGAGGAATCACTCCATTCTGAGATCTCCAATTGTTTGGCATATATATTTGTGAAGTAGTTACTAGTAATTTTCTGGATTAGGGCAGTGCCCCGTGTGATTTCATCTTCTAATTGCATTGATTTGTGTCTGCCTTTTCCTTTAAGAGACAATTAGTTAAAAGTTGTCTATTTTGTGTATTCTTTCAAAAAGCCACTTGTTTGATGCACTGATTCTTTGAATTTTTTGTCCATCATTTATTTCTGTTCTGATCTCTATCATTTCTTCCTTGTACATGCTCTGGGTTTGGATTTTTTAAAGAACCTTAGATGTACCATTAAATTATTTATTTGTCCTCATTCTGCTTTTCTGATGTTGAGCATTCACTGCTACAAACTTTCCTCACAGAACTACTTTCATTGTGTTCCATACGTTCTGGTTTGTTGACTGGCATTATCATTTTGTTATTTCTTGCTTAATTTTCTCTGTGACCCATAGTGTGTTAATTTTCATGTTTGCATAGTTTGTGATTTCTTTCGCTATTGATTTCTACTTTCATTGCACTGTGACCTTATAATATACATGGTAGTTTCAATTCTTTTGCATTTACTTACACAGTTTAATTAGTATGTGGTCTATTTTGCAGATAGTATCATGCACGGCTATAAAGAATGTGTATTATGCTGTTCAGTGGCACACTTTGTATGTATTAAGTCCATTTGCTCAAAGGTTTGGTTCTACTCTACTTCTTTGTTGGTTTTATTTCTTAGTTTCTTACTTTATTTCTTAGCTGGTTTTGTTATTTCTTTGTTGGTATTGCTATCTCCTAGGACAACCTTGTGAATTTTTTGGATGTTGATTTGTTGGTCATAAGTTTCTTCAGGTTTTATCATGTAAATATCATATTTCTCTATTAATTTTGAAAGATAAAGCCTGGCATGGTGGTGTATGCCTGTGATCCCAGCACTTGAGAGGCTGACGTAGGAGGATTGCTGTGAGTTTGAGACCAGCCTGGGGTACGTAGTGAATTCAAGGCCAGCCTTCACTACATAGTAAGACCCTTTCTCAAAAAAAAAAAAAAAAAAAAAAAAAAAAATATATATATATATATATATATGTATGTATGTTTTTTTTTGAAAGAGTTTTTCAGGATATAACAGTCAGGATGCAAGTTGTTTTAACAGGTTGAAACACTTCATTCCATGTTTTGCCTTTAAGGTTTGTATTAAGAAATCTGATAATTTTAAAAGGTTTTCCTTTATAGCAGCCTTCTCTCTAGCAGCCTTCAAGATTCTGTTCTTGTGTTGTATTTTGGTATGTAAATTACCACATGGCATGGAGTGGTGTTTTCCCCAATAATGGCTTTTAGGGTTCTGTATGCTTCACTTATCTGTAGTCTTTGATATCCTGTGAACATGTTTTTTATGCCCTCTGTGCTGTCTTCTGATTACAGATATTCCTTGTTTAATGATTTAATGACTGTTCAGACTTACAACCAATGCATGCTGTTTGGATTTACAACCCATATTTGATTTACAACAGGAACATGAGCAGTAATGCAACCTTAGAGTGGCTCCTTCTACTTCTGTATTGTAATGTACATAGTATATACAATTCCTCACTTACCAACCAATTCATTTAATGACCTAGTCACAGGAATGGAACTCAGTGATTAAATGAGGAATATCTGTATACTTATATTATCCTCTTTGAGTTATCTAGGAGTTGTCGGATCTTTTTGCCAAGTTCTCTTGTTTTTAAGGTGTCTTTTATTGTTTTTGTTTTTGACACAAGGTCTCACTGTGTAGTCCAGATTGGCCTGAAACTCACTATGTAGCCTAACCTAGCCTCAAACTCAGTGATCCTCCTGCTTCAGCCTTCTGAGTGCTAGGATTACAGATGTGTGCTACCATACCTGGCTTAAGGTATCTTTCAATAATTGATTGATCATAGTCCTGTCCTCTAGGCCTGACACTCTGTCTTCACATTGGTCACTTCTGCTATCCATACTTCCAATCGTTCCAGTTTCTTAAGTTTTTGTTTGGAACTTTCTTATGAACTCGCATTCTTTTTTATGCTGAGTATTTATGCCTTTTATCTCTGGTGCCAGTAGCTGTTTATTAGTGTCTTCTCTAGACTCACAGACTGTTTCTTTACAGTCATTGGGTAATTATTTAAATCTTATTTAAATTTCATCAAGCACCTTGGAGAACTGTTTTATGTCCTCTGATACCCTTTCAGACCTCTTTGTTTTGTAGTTTATGATTTCCTCTCTGTATAACGAGTTTAAGGGACTTAGGAGTTTGGGGAAGCATTTTGTTGCCTTGTATTTTCATGCTTCTGTTTCTCTTTAATGGAGTTTGCAAATTCTTTGACCTACTGCCCTGTACTTCATCCAGTACCTTGAAATCACAAGGGGAGTCACTCTGAGGACAGTGCAGTGATAATGACAAGAACAGAAAGGAAGGGTTCTGAGTCTTCTGCAACATCTCTGAGCTCAAGTTACCACCAATGAAAGCTACTCATCTCTAGACTTACTTTAAGAAACAAATCTCTACATAAAGGTAGTCTCTATTAGGTTTCCTATCTCAACCAGAAATTTTCTACATTTTATCCTTTCTCAATATGATCAAAACAATAAGCTTAACATCTGTATTTTAATATTTTATTCGAGTTGTTTTAAACATCTGTAAAACATCAACCCATTATTACTTTTTTATATTATAAAATTTAACTTCAAGTGGTAGAAGAGACAAAAAATATGTAATAGGACTGTTTATAATTCAGCAATATACTTGTAGGAAAACTAGAAAACGCACCATCATCCAAAAAAAAAAAACAATCAACCAATCTATCAGGCATGTCTATGTTTTATTTTCCTTTAGGTGATATTTCTTGAAAATTTCAAAGAGTCAGCCCTTACAAACAGAGATAATCTTTCAAAAAATAAAATTCAGTATCTGGATTCTCAGGACTCATAAAACCAACCAGATATGTCTGACAGCTAGTCACATCACACTCAAAACGTTTCATACCACCAGTGATGATTCAGGACTAACATCGGTAGGCAAATCCCAATTCTAAGGGTCACTGAAGACTACCATTGTCTTATTGCTGAACTGTACGTAACGCATTTTCTTTGGCAACTTTATCAATTAACACTATGGAATAGTTATAAGGGTTTGGATTAGCCTAGTATGTCAAAATTTCATAATTATTTAAATGTATCCTCTGATAGATGCTATAATAGGAAAGCCCCAAACATGCCTAATGATCAAAAAGATCTACCAAAAAAATTACCACTACTAAAAGCTTTTCAGTTGTATGTACAAATATACAATTCAACTCAATTTTACCAAGTGAAAATATTACACTGTTAGCTCCAATTCCCCATCAGATCTTCTGTGATAAAGGACAAAAAATAACTGTTTAAACTAACATACGTCAATTTTTCCAGAAGGTTGTTTCATATAAATTCAAAATGGCCCAAAATTTGCCAGAATTCTTACTATAATATTTCAAAACCTGTACTTTAAAATATTAATTTTAAGTGCTCCATGGAGTAAACCTATTTTAGAGGCTTAGCACAATAACTAAGAAATTTAAATAGGAAAATTCAAACCTGAAAGTTTAAGAAATCTTTTCTATGTATAACAAAATCACCAACTTCAATGGCTTCCACTAAAAATTATCACTCTAAAACTCACACAAAGTAAATTAAAATAGGCATGGCAGACTGTGCAATCTGAAGCATGTTCACACAACATGATAAATGATAAAGGTTAGCCAGCAAAAATTCAAATAAGCATATATGCAAACAGTTGTATGCAAGTTTTCATGAATAAGAAATTATTCATTTGGATCATTTTATGTACAGCTTGTTTACAATTTAAAACAAGTACAACTGAAAACATTCCTATATAAAAGCCACAATAAAACTAAATAAAACACTAAGTAACAGTCTTACAAGCTGGTCTCTCTCAGGACTTAAGAGAATAGCAGGGTACTACTAGTCTAAGAAATGCCCTCTTCTTGCTCAATCATTTCTGTTTTAACGGAAAACACATCTGCCAGCATGTGTTTTGGAATTTCTGAACCCCGCACTTTCAGGGCGTAACAAGCATTCTCCACTTTGGCCAGGCTCTGTTTCAAGGTGTATAGCTTCTTAGAAACCTCATAAGGCCCTGTATTGCCAATGAATGAGAACCCATCATAAACCTGACGTAAAAACTGGCTGACTTCAAAGGGCGTGTCAATGTCCCCGTTCCCCACACTATTAATACACATCCGCATCAATTCTCCAGTTAAGTCAGCCACTCCCAGGAGGTAGTCAACAGGGGTGACTTTCAGGCTCCAGGTGACCAGCTGCTTGTCCTGCGCATCAGAGGAGGGCTGGTATAGAACAAAGCAAAACAGACAAACACACAAAAGAAAACATATGGTGAAAAGCTGAATAGAGCAGGTATCACACTATGATAAAATATGAAATCAACAGTGGGTCAGTCACACTAATATCCTCAAAGTAAGATAATCTATTTTCCTTATAAACCCGCTGTGATGGTATAAGAGGAACTGGCCCATGTCCTAGGTAGACCTGAAGCAGATGACTCAGTATTTTTTTTTTTTTTTTGATCTTTTTTTTCCGGTACCAGGGATCTAACTCACGACTGCCTGCTTGCAAAGGCAGGCGCTTATGCCGTTGAGCTAAATCCCCAGCCCCCAACTCAGTATTTTTGAATACTGCCATCGTAAAGCTGTTTCCAACTTTGCTTGACAAACTAAATCTTAAGCAAGGCCTAATGATTGCTGCATGAAAACTGCTATTTAAATGACAACTATGAAGCCCTCCAAATTTGTGATCCATTCATGTTTTTTTAAGACCTTTAGTCCCTCTCTGGCCTCTCTTTCTTCACTGCTTGGCAATGACCATCACAATTTATTACTCCCTCTACTACATCCTCAATTCCCTTACAGTTTTCTATTCTTTACTGTACCTACCCTCCAAAAATACCATCTTGCCCAGTGTGGTGGCACATATCTGTAATACCAGTACTCAGGAGGCTGAGGCAGGAGGATCATTGCAAGTTCAAGGCCAGCCTGAACTACATGGTGAGTTCAAGACCAGCCTAGAATACACAGCGAGATCCTGTCTCAGGAAATCAAAACCAACCAAACAAAAAACCCCAAATCCAGAATCCTCAATGAATACTAAAATTAACTTTTTAGTCCTTTATTTAGGTGACTGAATATACTGAGTTAAAGAACAATCACAACTATCTGGAGGTTGTACTGATACAAGCTATTCATGAATCCTTTTAGTGAGTGTTTAATGGTTTTCTTTCCAGCCTCTTGAAACACTATTTCTGAAACATCATCATTTTCCTCAGGCTTTCCCTACCTATTCCAAACATGTTCAGTGTCAGTAGACAATCCTGCCTAACTTCCTGGGACCCAGTCATTCTCTAAACTACCTTTAACACTACCAAGAGAACTGCTTTTGTTTTGTTTTTTGTCTTTTTGAGACAGGGATCACTATGCAGGTCAGACTGGCCTTGAGCTCACTTTGTAGCCCAAACTGGTCTTGAACTTACAAAGACACTTTGGCCTTAGCCTCCCCAGTGCTGGGCTTGGCTTTCAGATATGTACCACCACGCCCAGCTAAGAGAACCTTATTTATATCCACATCTGTCTTTACCATCTATTGTCCATTCCTAGATGGTAAGCTGTTGAAAGGGTTTTGGCCCAGACGGGACACTGTAGCCAGGAAGGCCTAAACCGGAACCTCCCCCACCCCTAGAGATTTACCTGTGACTCTATTCCCCCCACCACCACCCTTAGGAATCGGCCCCTGGCGCCAAACCTGTGCCAATGAGATACCTGTGCTTCTCTAATGGCCCTAGGGCACTACCCTAAGCTTAGGCTACTTATATACACACACACACACACACACACACACACACACACACACACACACACACGCCACACGTCCGCCAGAGAGAAAGCCGGACTCCAGTGGTCGGGGGTGTCGGTTATCTCTCTCCGTGTTCTCAGAATAAAGGCCTCTTTTGTTTTATACTTCACATCTTTTGGAAATAATCCTATCAGCTGTCACACCTCTTCTTGTCTGACACTAACTCTTCCATTTGACCCTGACCCATCTCCTCCCACCTTTTTCAAGACCTTGCTTTATCAGGTACACACCTTTGGGCAAATGATTTCATCTCTCTAAACCTGCTCCTCATCTGTAAAATGGGATAACAGTACTTCTCTCAGGGGTTTATTTATGAATTAAATGACAGCATTTACTAAATGGTTGGGTACAATGCCCAACACAAGTAAACAATAAATCTTAGCTATTATCGATATCATGTAACTCTTATCTCTCTGCATCAATTTCTCTTTCTCCTGGGGTTCCTTTTAGTAAAGAGATACCTAAATTGTCATTATAAACTATGGGACTTAGCAAGGTAAAGTTACCATTAGATCTGAGGATAGTTAAGCAATAAAAATTGCAAAGGTGGGCAAGTAAGAATTGCATATTTGAAGATCTAATGAGGTATTTCTTTTTTTTTTGAGGTATTTCTTTTAATTAAAGGTCAAAGTAAGTTTTAAAGGTTGGAACTAGAAAAGCAGATGGGGCAGAATGTCACAATATGGAATCTGAACTTTAGTTGTCGGTAATGAAGAGTTAAGTAAGGAAATAGTTGTATTAAAGTCATGTTGGTTGCTGTGCATCCAATACATGAATCTTGACATGCTCGGACTCTTCAGAACCATCTGGTCTAGTGCCTTCATCAAGAGCATGAGAAACAAGGTTAAAAAAAACAGAGCAACATCAGTTAAGATAGCTGGGAAAGATCAACAATCAGTGGGAATACAAAGCCTGCTTCCCAATCATTCTGATACTTTTAAAATATAATAATATAAAAGTACTTGCTATGTTGTTTCTATTAATTATCAGAAAACTGGCATTTTTAATAAAAGGTAACACAGTGTTTGGGTGTGGGTTAGGAGAGGTGTGTGTCAGGGGCCATTTATGAAAACAAACTTCAATTAAGCAAGTAGTGTTCACTTGAAAAGAGGTCCACTGTTAGAAGTTTTTAAAGAAGGAAGCATGTCAAAATTAATAAATTTCAACTAATAAATTGTCAAAGAAATAAATTATCTACATCATTAGTAAAGAGTCAAACATAGTGGTACATGCCTGTAATCTTACACTGAGGCAGAAGGACCACCTTTGGTTTGAGGGCAGCCTAGGCTCCACAGAGAGTTCAAGGGCAGCTTCAACTACATAGTGAAACCCTGTCTCAAAAAATTTTTAAAAAGTGCCAGGGATAGAGCTCAGAGCATCAGCGCCTGCCTGCTATGCGCAAGATCCTGAGTTTGATTCCTAGTACCAAAAAAAAAAAAAAAAACAATTTGCTTAAACTAGTTTTTCAAACTTCTTAAAAATAACAAAGAAACAAACAGCAATAATACAAAGACAAGAAGATGATAAGAGGAGCCATAACTTAAGGATTAAGAACATAAAAGAAGAAGTAGGGACACAAACAAGTGAACTACAAAAGCTACTCACAGAAATAATCCAGGAGAATTTTCCTAATTTAGCAAAAGGTAAAGATACTCAGATGTATGAGGCATACAGGACCCCAGCTACCTACAACCCTAACAGAGAAACACCCAGGCATATAATAATAAAAATTCCAGAAATTCAATACAAGAACAGAATATTAAAAGCTGTAAGAGACAAGAAACAGATCACTTACAAGGGAATACCCATCAGAATTACAGCAGATTTCTCTTCACAAACCATCAAATCACGAAGAGCATGGGGAGAAATAATTCAAGCTTTGAAAGATAATAATCTACAGCCAAGATTGAGATATCCTGCACAACTGTCCCTGGAAATTGATGGAAAAACGAGGTGCTTCCAGGATAAAGAGGAACTGGGGGAATTTGCAACCACCAATTCAACCCTACAGAAAGTATTGCAGGATATTCTAAAAAAAGAAAAATACAAAGAACCCAGAAATAGTGGCGGGGAGGCCACAACGAATGGAGCAGAGAACAAAATGAAGAAGACAAACTGACAGCTACTGACAGAAAAAGAGCTCAACAGAAATGAGATAGAGAAGATTGGATGATAGGAACAGCTTTTTTTGGAGAAAATGACATCTTAATAGGTAATGCTGATTTAGTACCATCTTGTTTTGAAGTCTCATCTAGCTTTTGTTCTTCTGTCTCCAATGGTCTAAACAGGTTGTATCTTATTGGATTTTGTTATGTACGATAGTATAAGCAAAAACCTTTTAAAGACAAGGAGATTATACAGAGACCATTGTTCATTTTCTGTTAGTCGATTCTAAATACTCTATAATGCTGTCATTCTCTTAAATGGTTTTACATTGTTTTGATATACTTAATGCTACAGTATATGAAGTTGTACTCAAGGACTTCAGGGAGGGAGTCAATATGGTAACTATTTTTGGGTCAGGATTATCTGGTGGTGAAAACACTATTCTGCTTAAATGGTTATGTTTTGATCTGCCCTGTTTCGCTGTTATGTCCTCTTTTTTCTCAATCTCCACTCCATTATTTACTTTTTTATTTTTATCCATTTAATTAAAGGGAAAAATATAGCAGGATATAATATAGTAACCCACTTTGACTCTCTATTATCTCGATTTGAAGCCCTGTATTACTCTCACCATCTTGTTTTTGACTGAGGTTCCTCTATTCTGTTTTGCTGGATAGTATCAGGTTCGAAAGTTTAGGCATCAGCTGAGAAGATAATGAGATTCATTATAACGCCCATTCTCGTTGACTTTTATCTACTTTTGAAGACCTACAATATCTCCAATGTTTTGGTTTTGTCGGCTTTATTCTTTACGGTTTTGTTCAATTGTATTACAACTAATGATATAGGCAATTCTATTAGAAATAGCGGGAGGCATTATGGTAACCATTGTTGATCACCTTGTATTATGTTTTTATATTATCTATTATGTCCACCCTTTTGACTTGACCGATTCTGTTCTGTTATGTCACATTTGGTTTTACTCTCTTCCAAAAAAGCAATACGAACCGTGGGAGCAATGAAACCCAAAATGTGTAATAGTCACTGTACAAAAGAGAGGAAAAGAAAGTGCTCTAAACTATATAACTGCATGTATATTTAAATGTATAAGATAGAAAATGATATCACAGAGTTTTATTGGATCATTGAACAGAACTGTTTGCAGTACCATTGTTGGAATGTCCACTCTACAAGCTTTAATTTTGTGACTGGAACAATTATTTCTAAGATGGCAATATGTAATCCATTAACTAGTGATTTCCTACTGCACATTTTTTTCTTCTGTAAATCTGTATAACTTGTACCCCTTCACTGTTTTTTTTTCTTTCTTTTCTTTTCTCCTTAAATAAAAATAAAAAAAAAATAAACTAGTTTTTCAATATGGACACTGAAGTTTTTAAGGGTGAAGTATCATGACACTTTAAATTCATGGTTTAGCCTCAAGCAAAACCTTTAAAATGATTTAGCCAAAAATACTTAGACAAAGTAAGGACTCCAAAATTTTAACAATTAGTAAATCTCTGTAGTGGATACAAAAGCATTCATTGTGCTTCTATTCTTTGCTTTTCTGTATGTTTGAAATTTTTCATAATAAAAATTTTTAATTAGCACAAGCACTTGCTTGGCAAGTGCAAGGTCATGAGTTTGATCCCCAGTACCAAAAACAAAAACAAAAAAACAAAAAAATTAGTTAACTTTAATGTTTTTGACAATAATCAAAATAGGCAAGTCAGAAAAAGAAAGTACCTTTTTTCCCTTTCAAAATCCCCAAATTTTCAGCACCAAGAATTGTTAGCACTAAGAGGAATAATTATTTGTGAATATGGTCATAACAATCTGAAAAGCTTGTATGAATATCAAAGCACTATAGTCAGGCATAGGAAGCTGAGGCAGGAGGATTGCCATGAGGTCAAGGCCCGTCTGGATTTTACAGTGAAACCCTGTCTCAAAAAAAAAAAAAAAGAGGCATCATAATCTTAAAATTCAGAACCTGAGTCTCAAAGCCAGGGAGTATATACTCTGTCTGATTTTTCCCTTTATTTTTATTTAGATTTAGAGAGCACTACCTAGAAAGGTATGGTGACTTCCCTAATATTCCTAAGCACAGGATCAAACAGGCTTACCTTAATGCACTACAATGTAATCTTTAATAGAGGAATCAAAACTATGAAGGAATTGTACTTCTCAGAATGAATTTCTTCCTTAATAAATTTCATACAACTTGAAAACTTGAGAAAAATACATGATTTTCTTAAAGTAAGTTGTAACTATCAGGTCAAATTGTTCTAATTTCATAATATACTAATATTTTAGTGATATTGAACACATTTTTATTACTGCAGCTTCTTCCATCTTCTGTTTACCTATCCTGACTTTAAGCAGTATTGAAAACATAATAGTAAGTGGTGGTGCATGCCTGTGAACCCTGCCCTTAGAAGGCCCACAAGCTTAAGGCCAGCCTGGACTACACTGGGCTACACACTGAGACTCTGTCTCAATAACCTCTAATAACAATAATAGTAGTAGAAAAAAGAAAGAAAAATATACATTAATTTGATCTTGAAGTATACTGTATCTTAGAAGATATCAAACATTCAGAATGAGCCAGGCATGGTGGCAGATGCCTGTAATCTCAGCACTTGGGAGGCTGAGGTAGGAGGATTGCTGCAAGTTCAAGACCAGATTGGGCCACACAGTGAGCTCAAGGCCAGCCTGCTCAAGGCCAGCCTGAACTGCATAGCAAGACCCTATCTAAAAAAAAAAAAAAATTAGAATGAGACAGTCATGGTAGCATACTCTGTAATCCCGGCACTGTGGGAACCCAAATAAGCAGGAGGACTATTACATTCAAGCCCAGCCTGCACAACTTAGTAAGACCTTGTCTCAAAATAAAAAATACAAAGAAGGATGGAAGGGCTAGGGATGTAGCACAGTACTCTGGGTTCCATCCCCAGTCTTTAAAAAAAAAAGACCCCACTGTTACTTCAGTGTTATTATCTTCAAATCCAAAAGGGGGGAAAAATATTTGTTTAAAAGTGAAACTGAGGGGCTGGGGATTTAGCTCAGCGGCATAAGTGCCTGTCTTGCAAGTGCGAGGTTGTGAGTTCAATCCCCGGTACCGATAAAAAAAATAAATAAAAATAAAAAAATAAAAAGTGAAATTGCAAGCCAGGTGTAGTAGGCAAGCCTATAATTCCAGCATTTGGGAGGCTGAGGCAGGAGGATTGCCCAGAGTTGTCTTGAAAAGACAAGGAAAAAAAAAAAAGAAATGAAACTGCAAAAGCTTCTCTTTCCTTAATTCAGAAGTGCTTTCAGATATAAGCATGATTTACATAAGTGATTAACAGCTTTCACTATGTAAAATATATTCTGTATTATAAGGGCCCCTAGGCGTCAAGTGTGTATACTGCAGAATTATAAACTGCTATGTCAAATCCTTTCAAATACCCTTGTGAGCTAGAAACTCACTGCAAAGGCTCTCTTCTCTGAGAAGCACTGGCAGGGTAGAAGAGGTCACAGGCTTTGACTCAAAATGCTCAGTTTAAAAGTTTGGCTCTGTACACTGAGTCATGTAGCTTTTGGTCAGTTACCCCACTTGTGTTGTTGTTTCTGAAGAAGATCTTGATTTGTAGTTCAGGCTGGCCTTGAACTTACTTTGTAGCCCCGGCTGGCCTCAAACTCACAGCCATCCTCCTGCCTCAGCCTCCCCGAGTGCTGGCATTACACGTATGGCCCACCACACCCAGCCTTACACACTTTTCTTTCTGTAAAGTAGGACAGTGATTCTTATCACACAAGGTTAATAAAATAAATGATAGTGCTTACAATGCTTTAGGTAAAAGAATACTACTTTCCTCAACATACCTCTAGTTGCTATTGTTCTTTTTCTATCCCTAAATTTTTAAAAGACTGTTCCCCTGGTTGAGAATCTAAAAACACATGTGAAAAAGAACACTGCCAACCCAATCTTCTTAATACTGTAAGAGAGTAAGTTTCCTATAATCATTATGCTGTTATATAAATTACATAATAAATGTGAAATATGATTTTAAACTCTCACAGTCTTGTTTTCTTTTCCACTGTCTTCTGTTGTAAATATCAACTGCTTATTAATTTCATCCATACTGATTAATGATCGTGTTTTGATGAAGTGCTGAAAAGAGACAGCTTCCACATATTCTTGCAGCCCTGAAAAACAAAGAAAAATACTAAGATAAGTACTAAATTCACAAGAATATCATAATAAAAACTTCAAATTGACCTTCACTCAGCCACAAGAGGGGCTTAGACACGTCATCACGCCCCTGCTGCCTCTGTTTGATGGTGTGAGCCGCCAGTGTCAGCGCCTGACTGCACCAGGCCACCCGTCTGTTCACTGCTGCAGCCCTGCACCGGCAGGCACAGAAACATGATCACGTGAGCAACATCAATTTTTTTTGTTTTTTGGAACTGGAGATTGAACTCACAACCAACACACTTGCCAAACAGTTGCTTATGCCACTGAGCTAAATCCCCAGCCCAACATCATTTTTAAAAAAATTTATGTAGTAATTAATACGAAGCACAACAAGCACACGGTTTCACTTTGGGAAGCTGAAAAAGTTCTGTAGGTAGCTGAAGGTGATGACTTCACAACATGAAAGCACACAATGCCAAAGTTTACTTAAAAATGGCTAAAATGGTAAACTATATATGTTGCTATATTTTTATATTGTTCAGCAGCACGTATTGTTTGGTTGCTAATTTAATTTCATTTAAATGGATTAAAAAAATATTCCAGTGGGGCATGGTGTCAGATGCCTGTAATTCCAGCACTCAGGAGACTGAGGCAGGAGGATACTTGTGCATTCAAGGCCAGCTTGTTCTATATAAATGAGTTCCAAGCCATCCGGGATTGCACAACAAGACCCTGACTCCAAAAACTACAAAGAAAAAAAAATCCCAGTAGGAAATGTAGTTTGCCATGTTCCAAATAGGAAAAACTCAGAGAAATCATGGTTTGTAACTAAGGTCCAGACTTGGAAGTTGCTTGTAACAGTTGTTTTTACTAACTCAAATTTAAAATGTATTCACTGTTGGGCATGTAAGCACACACCTGAAATCCCAGCACACCTGCGCTGAGGCAGGAGGATTGCCATGAACTTGAGACCAGCCTGGGCTACATAGTGAGCTCAATGCTAGCCTGAATTACACAGCAAGACCCCATCTGAAGAAACCAAAAAACAAAAGAAAAAAGCTATATTCCATGCTTTGATTTGAATGTGTAGACAAAACAACTTTGTTCAAGGAATGAATTTTGAACAATTTTTTTTACAGGTGCTTCATCACCTGTTCTGTAATTATCATCTTTGTTAAATAACGTCCATTTAGAAATTTGGAGTAGTTTTGGAATTTCTAGTTTGTTTTTTGATTGAATCACTGTTTTTTTTTTTAATTCCTCCACATCTCCCACAGCTGAATCTTGACATTTGTACTGAACCACGGTCCTTGGAATGCTATCCTTACATATCAGAGAAGACCTAGTTAAATAGGAGTTTCAGTTGTGCATTGAACAGCATAAAATTTAGATTTTTTTCTATACTTATTTTTGTAAGCAAAACACTGCAATAAGCAAGCAGTATTAAAATCAATCAGCAAGCAATAAAATCAATTATGTCACTGTGCACAGAAAATAGGTGTGGTTAAAATTCTTTTGATTTTTTTTAAAGTTAGCACAAAAGTTATTTTCTGTATTTTCCCAGTTTTTTTATTATGGTAAAATAAACAAAATTTACTCAACTAATCTTTTTTTCTTTTTTGAGACAGGGTCTCACTATGTAGCTCAGGCTGGACCTGAGCTCACTGCACAGCCCATGCTGGCTTTGAATTTGTGGCAATCCTCCTACTTCAGCCTCTTAAATACTAGGATTACAGGTGTGCACCACCATGCCTGATTTAACTATTTTTAATTGTATGGTTCACTGGTTATAAAATATATTCATAATGTGTACTATCCCCATCATCAACCATCTCCGAAAACATTTTTATCTTGCACAACTGAAATTCTGAACCTTAAACAATAACTCCCCATGTTTTTCTCCCCTAGCTGCTGGCAACTACCATTCTGGCTGTCTCTGATTTCAACTCTCTATAAAGGTCATACTGTGGAATCACACGACACTTAATCTTTTGTGGCTACTTATTTAATTTAGCATGCCTTCAAACTTCATCCACGTTACAGTATGTATCAGAATTTCCTTCCGTTTTAAGGCTGATTAAATATTCCATTGTATGTACGGGCCACATTTTGTTTATCAGTTCATCAGCAGATGGGTACTGGGTCACTTCCACCTTTTGGCTCATGTGAATAACGCTGCTGTGAACATCGATATACAAATAACCATTCAAGTCCCTGCCATTAATTCTTTGGGGTATTTATCCAGAAATACCAAATAAAACTTTTAAAAAGTAGTATAACTAAATCTTGGATGGTAATTGTATATAAAATAATACATATCCATCTTTTTCTCATTATAACTATACAGCTGTATTACTATCCTTAATGAGTAAACAAATTGAGGCACAAAAAAATTTAGGAAATTCACCCAGGTCACATAGTAACAGCGAGAAGTTTTTTCTATAATTCAAAAGCATATACTCTTCCCACTATCTTATCTGTTTGTTTACATTCAAGGCCATATAAGGCAGAACTGTACCTATGCTTTCTCACTTTTATGTCTCTAAATTCCCAACACAGCCTTTTCTCCAATGCTTTATCATCATTCTTAGTCTCTCAGTTTCATGATTTCATGCTGCTCTGTACCTAGGAGGCGCTCTCTCAGACATCTAATAAGTTTAAATGTTCTGATATGCCTCAATCAAGGAAGCACTCACTTCTTATTTCTTATTACATAAAATGTGCACTGTAAGTAAATGTTCCAGGTGGCTGTGCATTATAAACAACTGGCTCATCACCAATATTGTACCCTGAACTCTGAGAGCAAGGACCATGCCTCCATGACGTGGCTCCTTGTCCCACCCCAAAGACAGTAGTACCATTATGTAAAAGAGATAAAGAAGTCTAATAGACTCCTAATAATCTGTTTCTACTTATGAGTTTTACAAAACTCTAAGTCCAATAAAAAATATTTTAAAATTTGGTATTCAAATATTCAAAAGTATCTACTTGTACTTAACTTACATTTGAGTCCAGAAAGAAATATTTGTACAAGATTAGAGTTCAAACCAGGCATCATTAGCACAGCCAGGTCTATGAGAGACTGAGGCAGAAAGACCACATGTTCAAACCCAGCCTTGGCCACTCTGCAACTCAGTGAGACCCTGTTTCAAGATTAACAGGCAGAGGATTAAAGGCCCTGGGTTCTATTCCCAGTGCTGCTCCCACCCCCAGCCCCAGAAAGAGAATTAAAGAGTCAAAATAATAAAGATCATGAGTTCCATCCCTGGTGCAAAAAATAAATAAATAAAAAGATACAGATCAGACAGAGTTCCTGGGTGTTTTGTTTTGTTTTTCTTTTTTCCCAGTACCCGGGATTGAACTCATGACTGCTGCTTGCAGGGCAGGTGCTTATGCCGCTGAGCTAAATCCCCAGCCCCAAATAATTTATTTTTGTCTTTTTTTTTTTTTAACTTTTTATCGGTACTGGAGATCGAACTCACGACCGCTTGCTTACAAGGCAGGTGCTTATGCCACTGAGCTAAATCCCCAGCCCTTGTTTTGTTTATTGTAGGAAAACATGTAATAGAGAATAAGAGCCCTCAAATTTATCTGTAATGTCAGTATCTATCAATATGGTAGTTGCCAGATATTAAACTTCCAAGTGTCTCATATGTAGGCTGCCCTCAGGATGTGTCTGATAAAAGCTACTCTGGAGATAAGGTAGCTAATTCTGCTCCACGGAAAGCAAGTTTCACGCTGCATCACTCAGAATGTTCAAGGACTTGTGGTCAAAACACTGAAAAGCACTTGTGGTCCCATGTAGGTAAAAGGGTTTTTAAACAAGCTGTTTCAACTTGATAAAAAGGACATCCGTTATTTTCAACGTATAATTCCCACGGTGAAAATTTTCAACCTACTGCCATATTCCATCAAACAATGCCTTCCTCTCTGCCATCATCCTGGAGGAAATCCAGTTAGAATTATTTACAGAATCAGCTTCCAGTACAAGAGAAGTTCATAGGTTGCCTTTAGGTAATTTGTTATTCTCCTTTTCCCCTATAGAACACATACAGGGAAACCTGTTTACAGGCTTTTATTTTTACTTATTTTCTAATAATTAAGCAGTATCCATCTAGTCCTAGTCTTCAACAAAAAGCCAATTTTTTAAGTTTGTTTTTTGTCTTTTTCATTTTTATCGGTACCAGAGATCGAAGTCATGACCGCCTGCTTGCAAGGCAGGTGCTTATGCCGCTGAGCTAAATCCCCAGCCCCACAAAAAGCAAATTTAAAGGTAAACAGGTAAGAATGAAGTTTCCTTATAAAGTCAAATCTCACATTTCACACTTCTTTGCATGCTTTTAATGCGTTTTTTAGCAAACTGGTTATCATGTAACTCATCAATCCTACTTTTAGATATATACCCAAGAGAAGTGAAAATATGTGCTGGGTAATCAAAAACTACCCTGATATTTTTTCTTGTTGGCATTATCCCCCTTACTCTGAACATACTACATTGTCCTTGCCATTTTCTGAATCAGTTCTAAAAGTCTTCTTTCATGCCATGGCTACCTCAGTGTCCTGAATCAATTCAAAATGTTTATTACTGAGTCATTTTGACTTTGGGAAAGAGCAGAAAATATACAGTGCCAGATCTCATGAATAAGGTGGAAGAAAACATATCATGTTTTTATGAGCCTGCCATTCCATTAAATCTCACTTGCCAGCAGCACTCAGTGTGTTTTTTATTATATCTCATAAATACACAGAAGACTTCCAGAACTGCTTCAGAAAGTGCCAAGAATGATGGGTGGGATACACGTGTTCCAAGCAAGGAGGAGCCAGGCATGGTGGTGTACACCTATAATCCCAGCACTGGGGAGGCTGAGGCAGGAGGACTGCTATGAGTTTGAGACCAGCCTGGGCCATAGTGAGTTCAAGGCCAGGCCAAACTACAGAGCAAGACCCTATCTCAAAAAAGAAAAAAAAAAAAAAAAAAAAGACAAATCAAGGGGGAGTATTTTAAATGTGG